CAGGCAGTCTGAAGACTGTCTCCCAATCCACTCTCTAAACGCTGGGAGGAGTGAGGAAGCAGACAGGCACCCTTTTCACTGGCCAACAGTTAACTGAAAGTTCACATTTTGCACTTTCCCTGCCTCCCACGTGGTTTTTTTTTCAGTTCTTAACTCAAATCTAAGTATGTAAGTCAAGTCAATATTTTCCTATGAGAGTGGTTCTTAAGTCAAAATGTTCTTAACTCAAGCCGTTCTTAAGTCAAGACCCCACTGTAGCTTCGATGACATTGTCCAACCATCTCATCCTCTGTCGTTCCCTTGTTTGATTTAGACTGTCTCAAATCAACCAGACACGTCAGTGAGGTATTTTAAAGCCCTGTGAGATTTCTTGCCTCCAGGTGAGAGTAACACAAATGCTGTTCTGTGGTCTGATTCTCCATAAATTGCACAAACAGTCTCTGCAGAAAATTAATCCCCTTTCTTTCTGGGAAAGGAGAATGATTGGTTGACTTGTTTAAAAAAGTACACCATTTCTCCAGTGCTTTTATTCCTTAAAAGTCCAAGCAACAAAGCAACAGTCATAGTTACTTAATGCAGTGTCTGTTATTTGTGCAATTCTTGTCCTCTTTTCAGGAGCATCACAAAATACCTTCTCCTCTTGGCTGTTCACTCCCCTCTTTGGAAGAATTGTATAAGAACAGATGTAAGAGGAAGATATCTAACATACTGAAAGACTCCTCTCATCCGGGATATCAGCTCTTTAAACTATTAGTCCTCTTGTGGGATAAGGAGAATAATCTAATGGACAACCCAGAGTTTGTTGGCCTCTTACACTTCACTATAGTAGATAAGTGAGGATTTATATCCCTGTTGAGGATATTAATAGTGACTGCCATAATTTGAGACCTATTTGGTGGATGTAATGGGTTATCATAGGGACAAAGATTCCCCCCCCTTTTTTTTGGCCCCACAACTAGAACAAGAGTTCCCCGTGGAGATTTCTGGCGGGCATACATGGGTAGTTTCAGTAGCATAGATGCATCTTACTAGTGAAGTGCCATTTATGCTACTAATAACAGCATCTCAGCTGGTCTTCAGACAGCTTTAATATTGTTCCCCAGGTGGTTTCTATCACATTTCTCAGAAAAAGAAGCATGATCAAATTCTGTGCATTTTAAAATCATTTGGATTTTACTGCGTTGATACTGTAAGCAGTTTTGCAGTCAACATAGTCAAAATGTGGGTTATAGAACCTAGCTTAAAAAGAATTGAATACCAAACAGGGGTCGTAAATCATTACGAGGTGTGATATTCAAACAATTGCCACTATCAGTAAGTGAATGTTTTACCATGTAGCCTCTGTGTTCTAACTCATATGTCTGAAGACATGAATCATGTTCCACGAAAGCTTACATTAAAATATAGCAGTTCGTCTTTACAACGTGTTACAACGTCCTTTCCCCTGCCCCCTTGAAAATATAGCAGTTCATCTTTAAAGTGTTACAACGTCCTTTCCCCTGCCCCCTTTTTATTCTGTTTTATGTTTCTGGTTGAAATGCTTTCATGGCTGCAACTCTGAAAATTGCCTTAGGAAGTTAGTTATGTTCTGTCAAGTTACAACCAATGTTAAAGCAGTCTTCATAGGGCTTTCAAGGCATCTGAGAAATTTAACGAGTGGCTTTCTCAGTTCCATTCCATCTCCAGTGAGTTTCCATGGCTGAGTGGGGATTTGAATCCAGGTCTCCAGAGTCTGAATCCATCATTCTAACCACTATATCACACTGGGTACATTAATGCATTTATTAATGTGGCAGGAGTATTATGAAATAAAGGCAATTCATTCCCTCTTTGGAACTCTCATATTGCAAAATGAAGCATACTCTGAAGAACATCTGGTGGACACTGAACTGGTGGTGGTCAGGACAACCCAGAAGTCAGGTAGCCTCGTAGGTAGGTAGGTAGGTAGGTAGGTAGGTAGGTAGGGGCAGGAGTATTATGAAATAAAGGCAATTCATTCCCTCTTTGGAACTCTCATATTGCAAAATGAAGCATACTCTGAAGAACATCTGGCGGACACTGAACTGGTGGTGGTTAGGACAACCCAGAAGTCAGGTAGCCTCTTATAAATCATGAAAGGAAGGAAGGAAGGAAGGAAGGAAGGAAGGAAGGAAGGGATCTCCATAACACTGCAGGTACCATTTTATATGTACAGATGAAAAATAAGAAATGATTTTAAAACAAAATTACAATTCATCTCACCTGACTGAGGAAGACTGTGATCAGCTGCCAAAATCAGACCTATCAAGTCAGCTGTCCAGGTGCAGTTTGTGGATGGGCAGCTTCAGAGTTGCTAAGCTGTGTTTCCGACCTCCAACTAGAATGTCCTTTGGTTGCCCTTCAAAAACAAGAGTGCTCTTTTTAGAATAGGAACCACGTTGGCCCACATCTGGAGCATTTGCTCCATGGTAGTAGTTCTCTACGCAGCCACACCAAATAAACAAGCACTTGCCAAACCAACATTTATGAATAGGAAAGGATGAAAGCAAAACTGCTCAGAGTACGTTGACAGCTATTATAAAACTGAAAGGCTGGCGCTCTTCTGTCCGAAAGAGGAGACAAGGACTCAACTTGAAAATTCTAATTAAGGCTGGCCAAGATCCATTAGCGTATCTTCACTTGGAGCATCTTGATTCACATCCTGTGGATCACCCTTATTATACTGGTCTTAGGTGAGAAATGTGATTAAACAATCTGCTAAGGCAGTATCTCTCTCTTTCTCTTTCTGTCTTTGAAATCTTTTCAAACAACCCTTTATCAACAAGTAACATTCAGTTCAAAATGCAGGAAATGTATGAAGGGAATGCGGGGGGGGGCGTTGCAAGAGGGAAAAGAGAGAAAAGAAAGAGAAATGGATCAAAAGAAATGAAATAACATGTTGAAAAGTATGGAAATGAGGTGAATCTGAATTAATGGTAGAAGAAGCAAAAAAAATCAAAAAATCAGAACTACTGCAAAGTTAGATGCAAATATTTACAAGGATGAGAAACTGGTGAGCAGAGAGAGAACATGAGTACAGAAATCAAACTTTTTTTTTCTTTTTCTTTGTGTAATTGAAAGCCCAAAAGAAAACTTGTTCTCAACAGAAGCCTTACTGACAACAATAACTTTGGTGTTACAAACTTAGATATTCTGATGCAACTTAAAAAAAAACACAGAACAAAACAAATGGATTTCATCCCCGCCGGGAAGGAAGAATTTGTCTGAAGCTAATTCCCATGATTTTTAGGTAGTTATAATGAGAGTCTGGAAAGTTATTTTTTAAAAAGTAATTTGTTCCTGTTAGTTTTTGAAAAATAATCCAGTGTTATTATTCTTTACAATGGGTGGGCAACGGGTGGTGCCCATGAATCTCCAGTGCCCACATATGACCTCTCTTACTCTGAGGCTCTTTGACACCCCCCCCCCCGGAATAATAAGCAAAATATAAGTATATTAAAAGGATGAGTAAATTAGAAGACCCAGTAGACCCAAGGTCTATTTGCTTTCATCCGGTGAAACTAGGTCATTTTGCTGTTGCTTTAATGTTGTTCATTTTTTGGTTCTTCATAATAAAATCTAATGGCTAGTTAAGCATTAGAGAGAAGTGGGCTTTCCAAAGAGAAATGCCAGCTTAATAAATAAATGAAACATTCCAAGTGATATCCATAGAGGTTCTAGCCTATTTACTAGATCTCTTTGGTATTAATTAAGTCTAGTAACTTTAACTTGGTATTAGTCAAGTCTAGTAACTTTGAATTAACAGTCTGGGGAGGAAAGCCTAAAAGGCCACCAGTCTTAACAGGCAGAAAGATTGTACAAATGTAGGTCTTGCATCAGACAGTTTGATCTAAAAAAAAAAGTTTATAGACCTAGAGCTTTCAAAGCCAAAAAGAGCATCACTTGCCTCCCTCTTGCTTGGTTGATCAGAACAGTACTGCTGATTGGGAAATCTGCAGGACAAATCACTACTTTTGATGATGTAATCATAATAATTTTGAGTTTATGTTTTACCATAAGAGGGGGCCGTCTATCAGAATTGTCAGAATGTCTTAGTGAGAAATATCTTTGTCGAAAGCCTAGCTTTTCCTGTGGCAGAAAGAATCGTTCTCGGCGTCGCCTCGGCAGAGCTACCACAGCAAAGAATCCCACCCCCACTTTTCTTCTTTTCTTCCATAATCACAGAAATTCCACCTTGCCTGCTGAGCCAAGGACACCTACCAAGCAATTTAAGGCATTAGCAAGTGGAGGGGCCTTGTAATTAAGGGATAAATAGGACAAGTGCCCTATTTCACCAGGTAGTAATCTAGTTGGTAAGTGGATAAAAACAGTCAAAGCATGCTGTGTTTAGATCTCCCTATACAACTGTCAAAGTTTGCTGCAAGCCGTCTAAAAATATGTGCCTTGGGGTATATCAGGGTACGAGGAGTGCATCTTGGAGTCAGTCACTGCATGTGGAGAATATATGTCCTGTCCACTTCTACATGGGCAAACTAGCCCTCAGAGGTCCTGGCACCTGAAGGCATATTTGGGAGTGGACATGGGTTTGGAAAGGGTGTGTGTGAAATGTACAGGGATATGCAACTCTGGACCTCCAAACCTTAGCGGTCTGCAACTTAGCCAGTGGTGAGGGACTGTGGGAGTTGCCATGTGAAATGTAGAGGGCTGCGCCCCTATTGTAGTGTCTGTAAAATATGCATCCTGAAATACAGCTCCCTTTGCACATATCCTCATTCTGAATACCTTAACTGAGGCTGTGTTGTTTCACAATTAGCCTCAGCTTCTGTTTCTGTCTCACGTTCCATTCACTTCTGTGGATAAGGCAGATCTGTTTATACAAATGAAATGCATGTATATATGCTGTTTATATGATCAGCGTATCAGTATACTATGTGTTGTATATAATACAGTCCATAATGTGGGATATCTGTTATTTGAAGAAAATAAAATTTTACTCACTTATTACCTTGAACACTCATCAGCATCCCCTGTATATATCCACTGTATATACCTGTACTGTACAGTGTGTATCTGTGTGTGTGTATATATATAAAAACCTGAAGCAGAAGAAGCTTAAAGGGAGCTAAAGTAAGTTAAAGAACACAGATCAATCTTGCTATTTTGCACAAGCAGACAAAGTCTTATATGTCTGTTCAGCAAAACAAACAAGCCATTGGGAAAGGGAGATGTTAGAAGTTTATACTGAGCCTAGAAAAACTTGAGTGAACATTGCTTGTTAAACGTTTTCTTTAACTTTGTCTGATATCCTTGATCCTTAGGTCTGTGTCCTTTGTTTGGATATAAACCAGGTTTCAGGGAAAGGAGACTGTGTGGCCACCACAATCAAGAAGCATTGGCCTATTATTCAGTGATCAAATATAGCAGGCTTGCGGTGGGCATATTTTTACCTCCACTGTCCACCATAGGTTGCAATAGGTCTGGATAATGTGCAAAATATATCATAGTAGGGGGGGACCCCAAACGCCCAAAGGTTGGCTTCAGGTTATGAGTCTTGGTTTGGAGGACTTACCCTTCCAAACTTTTCTACAAAACCCCCAGCTGTTCTCAGAAACCTCAAAAACGTTGAAGACAAACAAAAATCATATTTTAAAAACTGAGTGTGGGGAGGCAAAATGGAGTGGGACCACATATAGCACAGAGTCTGCACTTTACCCACCCCTGGCTTGTTAGGACAGTTACCACTGTTATCAATTGATTTTAAAACTTAATTTAAAAGAAGCCTCCCATCATTTCTCTTCTGTCGTCCTGTCCGGCCTTTTCTGATTTTTTTTTCCCAGTTTAATGATCTTGGTCAGGCCCATTACAAATTTATATTGTCATCACAAGCTGAAGAGTCCATTTGAAAATAAATGTTTTAATAGTTTTACATAAACTATTGGCACCAAATGATGCTGAAAATCTGTTAGTTCTCCACTCCCTAAACGCTGGGAGGAGTGAGGAAGCAGACAGGCACCCTTTTCACTGGCCAACAGTTAACTGAAAGTTCAAATTTTGCACTTTCCCTGCCTCCCACATGATTTTTTTTCAGTTCTTAACTCAAATCTAAGTATGTAAGTCAAGTCAATATTTTCCTATGAGAGTGGTTCTTAAGTCAAAATGTTCTTAACTCGAGCCGTTCTTAAGTCAAGACCCCACTGTATAGCACAGAGTCTGCACTTTACCCACCCCTGGCTTGTTAGGACAGTTACTACTGTTATCGATTGATTTTAAAACTTAATTTAAAAGAAGCCTCCCATCATTTCTCTTCTGTCGTCCTGTCCGGCCTTTTCTGATTTTTTTTTCCCAGTTTAATGATCTTGGTCAGGCCCATTACAAATTTATATTGTCATCACAAGCTGAAGAGTCCATTTGAAAATAAATGTTTTAATAGTTTTACATAAACTATTGGCACCAAATGATGCTGAAAATCTGTTAGTTCACCAGTCTTAACATCTTTTATTGTTTATCCCTTCTGGCTGTATTTTGAACTTTTTTTTTTTAAGGCAGCAGTTTCATCAATTAATCAGACTAATCCATTTTAAAACCTTGTGTGCCTGCAAGGCAGGAATGCGGTGAGGGTGAGGGAGAAGAAGGACAAACGAGACACAAAAGTTGGATGGAAAACAGGTCACAACTTCTCCTGGGTACAAGCCGAACTTCACTGCAAAAGCAATAGTAATGGGGCAGGGAATTCTGCCAAATGAAGGTAGATGGTAAAAGTTGCTGACTGTTAACTTACTTTTTTAATTAAAGTATTGATATCCCACTCTGTATGGGAAAGATCTTGGAATGAGTTACAAGCAATGAAGCAACTAAAAGAATGAGCAGAGCTTTAAAACAGTTGGAAAAGACTTCGAACTGTGTAAAACATTCTTCTTTGTGGTCTCTGGGAAATCACACATATGGGTTCCTTTCAAGATTCCCTGTAAGCTGGACATGCACACCCACAACTCAGTCTCCCTCTGCGCAGCCCTCTTCCTCCTCTGCACAGCAGTATCGCATTTGGTGCCGGTCGTGACGGAATCCTGCATGCAGGGGTGAAAGTTGCATGCGTGCAAGGCGTAGCCCCGCCCAGCGGGACTGAAAATCAGAGGGTACTGTACTGTATGTTGGTTCCTTTTGCAACTGTATGAATAACCTCAGAACCCTCTAGAGCAGTGGTTCGTAACCTTGGGTTACTCAGGTGTTTTTGAACTGCAACTCCCAGAAACCCCAGTCAGCACAGCTGGTGGTGAAGGCTTCTGGGAGTTGCAGTCCAAAAACACCTGAGTAACCCAAGGTTAAGAACCACTGCTCTAGGTGAAGGCTTCTGGGAGTTGCAGTCCAAAAACACCTGAGTAACCCAAGGTTAAGAACCATTAGCTCTAGAGCAGCGGTTCCCAACCTTGCGTAGCCCAGATATTCTTGGGCGGCAACTCCCAAAAGGAAGAGCTTACCTGCCCCAGGACAAGATGGAGAAATGTAATGATCTAGTAAGCAAATTTAAACCGAGTACATCAGTCCCAGCATACATGGCCCAAAGACCTTTTGGGCTT